CAGCAACAGCCCAAACCAGCTTACAGTTCCGGAATCAAAACTACCGCCTGGAGGAATCCCAGTACCATTCAAACCCATCAGAACTACAGCAGGGTCTTCGTCCACAACAACCCAAACAGCGACTCCCAATACGTCATCACCAAAGCGGAGAAATCTGACAGGCTGTATCCGGTATACAATGCGCATTCCTACGGACAACAGCCCGAACAAACCCAAAAATTAATCCAGTCCAATTCTCAAACCTCGCGCAACTCTACTGGTAAGCTAAGATCGATCGTGACCCAGTCCCTCTCCGCTCACTACTCTCTCCGATAGGTCAATATGTCCCGGGGGCAAATCTGGCGGGGACTCAGAACAACAGGACCATCTACAAGAGGAAGATAGAATTCAAGACCATCGAGGTGTACGAAAAATGCCCTGAAGGCGTTACCGGCTCACTGGTGTACTACCTAAGCTGCAACCAGTTCCTCAACTGTTGGAAGGGAAGAGGGGAAATCCAAAACTGCGCTCCTGGTACCCTGTTCAATCCGAAGACTCTGGAATGCGATTTTCCCGAAAAGGTGGAGTGCGTTACAGGTATATCCGCAGTTTTAAAGACTACAGACGATGGTAGATAACTAGAACACTTTTAGGAAGGCAAAATTCTTTGACGCTACAGACGAGTCGTCATCAAAAGTCGGTTACTCAAGCGCCCTGCCCTAAAGAATTCAGCGGCCTGATCCCCAACTACACCGATTGTTCCAAGTTCATTAGCTGCAACAACGGCCAGCAGGTTTCTATGGATTGCCCACCTGGTACTCTCTTTGATACAACTCGGAATGTCTGCAACTTCCCGTACTTGACCACGTGCTTCAATGGTCAATCCGGTGCTTCCCAAAACAGCAGCGGTGTAGGGTACGAGAGTCAGTCACAGTTCCAAGGCCAACAAGGTCAATATTTAGGGCAACAACCGGGCTATTATCAAGGTCATAACACGTACGGAGCAAATCAGTACGGATTTCAAGGTCAATACAGTCAATCAGGTAATATATTTGTTGTATTTTAAATCAAACCCATTTTAGGTCAGCAAAATCAGCAAAATTATGGTACCCAATATTTAGCAAGCAACCAACATGGGCAGTCTGGTTATCATTACGGTAATGAAGGCCAGTACCACTCTAGTAGTCACGTGGGACAACACAGCAACATACAACAAGGCATTAACTCAAAACTGGACTTCGGTGGAGGCAGCGGAACTACTTATGGGAAAGACNGTTATAACTACGGTAATGAAGGCCAGTACCACTCTGGTAGTCACGTGGGACAACACAGCAACATACAACAAGGCATTAACTCAAAACTGGACTTCGGTGGAGGCAGCGGAACTACTTATGGGAAAGACCCAGTGAGTCAAGGTCACAGTTTTTATATACAAACCGCTCAGGGAAGGCCTAGGTGTAATCCGCAGACACAAAATTGTGGCCTTGACTCCGGTGCTTCATCAAGCAACAACTACGGACACACTTCGACTCAAAACTGCAATCCTCAGTACCAGAACTGTGATCACAGTCTTGGTCAAGGCCAAGGCCAGTTTTTTGTACCAGGATGCGATTCTAGAACCCAAAACTGCGGTCAAAGCTACGGAAGCACTCAGCAAACAGTCCACGGGCACAGTCAGACCCAAGAAGGTTATGGCCAGCAAAATTTTCATAGAGTTTGCAATATAAACGACTCTAATTGCCAGAGGAACACTACCGTTGCGAAGAAAAGCAAAGAACCCAAATGTCCAGATGGTTTTCAAGGCATTACCAAACATCCTAGTGACTGTAAAAAGTTTCTGAACTGCGCCAACGGTAGGACCTTCATCCAGGATTGCGCACCAGGGACTTTGTTCAATCCGGCTATCGGGAACTGCGATTTCCCGTACAACGTCGATTGTTCGACCAATGAAACCGACGAAGCAACTGAACGCTATGGGTCGAGTTCGACAAGCGAATGGCAGAGGGTATACCAGGAACACGTTGAACAATATGGTCAAAATGCTGGGCACGGTAAGCAAAATAGTTTTTTTTGTATCTAGAACGCGAAATGGTACTTTTGCGTTCAAGAATGGAAGTTATTTTGCCGAGCTTAGCGAGGCAAAATATATATTCGAGATGCAAATAATATTTTTTCGAAAACTTCAATAAAATAAGACAATTGTGTTATATACAACAATTTATATTTGAAATTGTTTGAACCGTGTTTGAATCAAGACTGTTTAGACGGGGTGACTATCATAACGATAGCAACCTAATAAACGATAAAAATTTGTTGTTTGAAAAAATAGTGTCAGAATTATATACAGGGTGGCCAAATGAAAACGAAACAGAGCCATTTTCAGGAACTGCGTCGAGATTGTAGAAAAACGCTCAGACTCGTCGATTTTAGATTAAAGGGGGACATTCTTTGCTGGTATTTAATAAATATTTAAATGACATTTGGGGGTTGAGTAATATTTCTTTTGAAAGCTCTTACAATTCTCTTTACAACAGACTTTAAATTTTATAATTCCGCCCAATACTTATTAAGAATTTTTATATTAAATTTGAAACTTGTGTACAAACAATTAGTAACGGTAAAAATATCAGTCGTTCGAGTTAAGTACGCCAATGGTATAAATTTAGTATTTCTTGCGAAACATTGGTTTTTGGCGATTTGTTATCACTTTCGTAAGAAAAAACACAATTGTAAAAAACAGAAATGAATGCTATACACACACAATGAACGTAATTGCAGAAGGTAGATATCATTTCGCCTTACTTTATGAACAATAAATGTGCGAATAGAACAGCTCAGCTATTTAATGAACAACATCAAGATCGACATGTCAGGACGAAGTATGTTCTAGAGTTAGTAAAAAAATTTCAAGAGACAGGGAACGTAGCCAATAAAAAACGAGAAATTGAAAAACTTATAGTTAATGAAGCTAGTGAAGTTGCAGTTTTGGGACAAGTTCATCTTGATCCTACATTAAGTACGAGGCAGCTGGCATCTGTGTCTGGGATCAATCGAACTAGCATACAAACCATTTTGAA